ACGAAAAGGTTTTAATTTTTTAATATTTAAAAAAAAAGGTTTTAATTTTTTAATAAAAAATATTATAAAAAAAAGTTTTAATTTTTTAATAAAAAATATTTAAGTTAAAATTATAAAAAAAATTAAGTTTAAATTATAAAAAAAGTTTTTGGGGGAAAAGTCTTTTCAGTTTTTTTAGAACAAAAAGGCTTTTCAGTTTTTTGGGAAAAGGCTTTTCAGTTTTTTTGGGAAAAGGTTTTTGGGAACAAAAAGGTTTTTTTTTTCTTCGGAACAAAAAGGCTTTTCAGTTTTTAAAAAAGGTCTTACTAAAAAAAGGTTTTAATAATAAATAAAAAAAACGGTTTTGATTTTAAAAAAAGGTTTTGATAAAAAAGGGTTTTGATATTAAAATCTACGGACCTAAACACACATGGAGATTAATATGGCAAAATATGCACATAAACATGAAAAAGCAAAAGGTTTAGTAATTTAACGGACCTAAACACATTAACATGGCAAAATATGCATATAAACATGAAAAGGCAAAAGGTTTAGTAATTTAACCTACGAAGCGGAGGTTTGCTTCGGTAAATGTGAAAAAGGTTTGAATAAGGGAACACTAGAGAGCTTCAATCCTTCTGACGAGTTGTGGGAACGACCGCCTTTCTTCTCTGGGGATCTCCTTTGTTTTTCCCTTTCTCTCTCCTCTTTTCTGAAGAAAAACCTTCTGACCCCCTTTTCAACAAGGCAACACATGTATATATAGGGAACAAATTAGGGTTAACACCAAATTGTCAATAATGTCCCTAAAGCCCATTTTGAAGCCCAAATAAATAATTAGTTAAGAAAAAATATAATTTAAATAATTTAAAATAATTAAAATAAACTTTTAAAATAAAAACTAATAATCCTATTGATTCTTAAAATCAAAAATATTATAATAATAAAAAACAAAAAAGTGACAAATGTGAGATTCAAACTCTCAACCTCTCACACTCACAACTCCTTACACATGTCCTCTTGCCAATTGTGCCATTTTTACTTTTTAAAAAAAAAATGCATGCCATATGATATTTACCTGCAAAAAGTCAAACGACTACACAAATTTGTTAGTGATTGATTAAATGCAATAAAAATGCAATGAAATGCGACGACAAATCTTAAGGCAAAATTTGGGGTATTACAGTAACACTACGATATCATGGAGATCACAAAAGCAAACACTTGTAGAAACTTCTTCAAATTATGCTGAAGTAAGCCTTTCATGAAGCAAGCAAAAAATGTAGATGGTTACGATCGGTAACTCAACATATCCAATGAGCGTCTGGTTTACCAATTGATAATAATCCAACAATTTTGTATGAAGACAATGTTGCATGTGTTACCCAGATGAAAGAAGGTTATATCAAAAGTGACAGAACCAAGCATATCCCAAAGTTCTTCTCATTCAAACAAGAACTTGAAAGAAACAAATTTGTTAATATTCGATGTATTCATTCATGTGATAATATGGTAGATATCTTCACAAAGGCACTTCCTACATCAGTTTTTAAAAAGAATGTACAAAATATTAGAATGCATCAACTTCGAGATCTTTAAAGAACTAAATGTGTTTTGTTGAAGGGGAGCATCATGTTGTACTCTTTTTCCCTTATTAATGTATTTATCCCAATAGATTTTTTCTAATAAGATTTTTAACGAGGCAATATATGTTCCTATAAGTTTCTCCTTGATAAGACTTCGATGGAGCACAGTAATAGATGTTTCAAATGGGGTGTTATAATATTATTATTGTTATAATACTATTATTACTTAGAAATGTCTATCTTAATAGGAATGACCAATTATTGTAGATACATAATTTTTCAAATTTAAAATAGTATGTCCAATTATTACATTAGTGTAATAGTTGTATTTCTAGTAGTATAAATACTCTCTTTTGGTTAATGTAAAAACACACCAATTTTACTTTGAAAACACAAGTAAAGTATTCTACTCTATTCAATCTTCTCCATCTAGTTTGATATTAATTACAATTAAAATAATAACTTATATCATTATATTAGTTCATAAATATTAACAAATGAATATTCAAAATCGATTTCTCTCAACACAATTGATTTTTTTTGTAAGACTTTTGTACTAGGATGAATCATTGTTTTAGAAAGAAAAAAAAAATAGAAGAACACAAGAAAAAAAATATAAATATAGTTGGAGAAAAAAGGATATCCACTGACAGTGTAAAATAATTTTATATTATCAACCAATCATCATCATGTATTCTACCAAGTCATCATGATATTTTTAAATTAATTGTATGATATAATTTATTGATGAATCTTTATTGAATGACAGTGTAAAGTGGTTTTTTTTATATAAGGAAGGGTCTAAGGCCCAAAACAAAACAAACTAAACATAAACAATTCTAGCCAAGGATGACACAGCTAAATCTCCTTCATACAAGAACCCTATCGATGAATGACACGACTCAAAATAACAAATGCCCTTAGATAAATGGATTACTTGCTTAACAAGTGCATTCGACAAAGATTCGTCTCACGAAAAACTTGCATGACTTTGATAACATTGTCTTTATGAAAAAAATACTTTATCCACTTGATAAGTTCTCGCCCCAATAAATTACTTAAATTATTATTATTAATATCATACGCAACTTAATGAGAATCCACGCAAATATTGATCTTATTGAAACCCAACTCTATCACAAACTGAAGGCCTTCCAAACCCCCCCTAGTGTTGCATGATGCAAGTAACTGAGGTGAAGTCGTTGGAACTAGTTGCATGATGCAATGTAAGTTTTGGAACTCAATTTACTTCACATTTAGTGCTCCAAAGCCACTGCACCTCTAGTGTTGAAAATTTCATAATGGGGTCGTTTTGGACGCATGTGGCTTTAAATATTAGGGTCCTCGTTCCCAAATTATGTTTTTTTGTTGGGTGAGGGTTTCACTTACTGTAGCTTGATTTTAGATCTATGTTATGGGTTGAATAACTTCAATTCATTTTTGGGCCGTGTGATTGTGTGAGGACAAATGGCATAGATAAGTATTTCGTTATCAGTGCAACAATATTACCACTTGTCTCTCTCAATCTTCCATCAACTCTTATCTTTTTATTTCCTCATCCATTGGTCGAAGGGATTCATTTTTCTCCCATTATCTGTTTTCGCTTACTTTATTTAAATAAGTTTCCTACATTTCATTTATCGTCCTGTAGTATTTATTTTTGTCTTGCTCCAATTTTTTGGTTTGCATATTGTCAAAAAAGTCTTTTATCTATCGCATATTGGTAACTCAAAAATGATATTTTCTATTTACATTTTTATTAGAAACAGATTGAAGGAGTTGTAACAAGTCGTGAAGTAGAATTCACATAACTAGTACATGATAAAAACGTTTCTCTAACAAAAAAGGTAGATGGGACCGAAGACGTACAAGCTAAAACATCATATACAGCTGGCACAATTATTTTATGTAAAAGTGAAAACAATACAGCTGGCACAAATATTTTATAAAAAAATGTTTGTAACAAAAAATCAAATTATTATGTCTGGAATTATTTACTTCTATAAAATATTAATATAGTATTTATATATGTTATTTGAACTTTAAGTGATTTTAAAAAAAATAATTAGATGGATTATTTTAATGATAAAGTTAATATTATTTATTTATTATAATTAATAGAATTATTGAAAAGAGTTAAAATTAATAAATAAGAGTATAATAATAAATAAAAAATAATAAATATTGTATTGATATTCTAAAGAGACGTTTATTTTAAAATATAAAAAAATATAAATAAAACATTTTTTATAAGACGGAATTAGTATTTATTTCCACTAACTTACATGTATTTATTATATTTTTATACATATAACTATTTCCCTACCTATTATTAATAAAATACAGCTTATTAGAAGTATCCTATTTGCTGTGACAAACTAAAGGATGCAGGTTTTCCCCATTCCTCATAAGGGGCTTTATTAAAAGTATCCTATTTGCTGTGACAAAATAATGGATGCAGGTTTTCGCTATTCCTCGTAAAGGGAAATTGAAGTAATTTGTAAAAACTCCAAAAATATCATTAGCAGGAATACCACTATCTCTTGATGCTGGTGAGCTAAATATTACTGCTCTTAGAGATTGGAATCAGGCCACAATTGGTAAATTGCTTTGGAATATTCACGTTAAAAAGGATAAGCTCTGTATTAAATGGGTAAGCATGTGCTACTTAAAAGTTTGTGAGGTTCTGGATTGGGAGATCCCAGCAGCATGCTCTTGGATGCTTAGAAAGAGAAATTCAAGAGGGTGAATGTTATAACTCTGTCACAATGTACCCAGAGTTAAGAGGTATTGTAGAGAGTTGGCGGATTGAAGGAAAATACTAACGGATAATCATGCGCGACCTAGAGCTGAATTTAGGTTGTGATTAATATTAAATGGCAGACTTCATAGGCTCCGGAAATTTGGTCTGATTGATAGTTTTGAGTGTAGTTTCTGTTCTTTTCTTGCGCAGGTTTTGCTCTTTGTGGAAGGAGGTTCTTTATGTAAAAATTTCACTACTATGATACGGAGGGAGTAATAATATATTTCATTGAACCATTTTTTATATCAGAACTACCCATATTCAACGAAAATGAATAGTATTCAAAGCATACCGGTAGTTATTTTTAAATTGATTTTCATATATATTTTTATAAAAAAATATATAATGTAAAATTGGAGATGTGAAAGGAATATTGAAAAATGACCACGCGGGGCAAGACAGTAAATATGATCGCCATCGTCATCAACTTCGACTTTTACAAGAAAAATGACCACGCGGAAAAGATTCGGCCTAATTAAGTATCTCAAATCTAAATAGAGAGGGGATTAGGGGATAATAATAACATAATAATAAAAAAAAACAAAATGCCATCAAACTAACAAAAAAGAGAGACGCCATGGTTGGTTGTTGGTTGAAGGGCGGCGGCAGCGATGATGGACGATGCTCTTCTATTACCAAAACTTGAAGAGGAGGCCTCCGTGGGTTGCAAAGAAAGGAGCAAACACCAGTGACTCAACTGCCATCAGCTTGATAAGGATGTTAAGTGAAGGTCCAGATGTATCCTTCAAAGGGTCTCCAATGGTGTCGCCAATCACTGCTGCCTTGTGTGGGTCTGACCCTTTTGGACCAAGGCTTCTTGCATGCTCTGAGGCACCAGCCTGTTTTTGTAATCAAATGGATCAGTATTTAATTAATTAACATCTACAGTACCTTAATATAATAAGGTACATATCATATAGTATCATACAGCTCAATCTATTTAATAAAATAGTATTTACCTCAATGTACTTCTTGGCATTATCCCAAGCACCGCCAGTGTTGGATGCAGAGATGGCAATCTGTAATCAACACAACAACCAGTGCATCATGAATTAATATTGATTGTATTACAAGCAGCAGACAATAAAATGAAGTGGGTGGGTACCAAACATTAATTACCTGTACACCGGAAACCAAAGATCCAGCAAGGACACCGGATAGTGTTTCAACACCAAAAAAGATCCCAACAATAAGGGGTGTTAGCATAACAAGGGCACCAGGTGGGATCATTTCTTTGATGGAAGCGTCGGTGGAGATGGTAACACATGTGGCATAGTCAGGCTTGGCAGTTCCCTCCATCAATCCAGGAATGGTGTTGAATTGTCTGCGAACTTCCTCAACCATCTTCAATGCTGCACTTCCAACACTCTTCATGGTCATGGCAGAAAACCAGTAAGGGAGCATGGCGCCCACAATCAGACCGATGAAAACCTTGGGAGTAAGGACATCAACTGTTGTAATACCAGCACGGCTCACAAAGGCGCCAAAAAGGGCCAAAGACACAAGGGCGGCAGAACCAATAGCAAACCCCTACAACATAGTAACAACATACATCAAGAACTTAACTAAAATAATAGATTGAACTAGGTGAAAAGAAAAGAAAAAAAAAAGAGGAAAACCAAACCTTTCCAATGGCAGCAGTTGTGTTTCCAGCAGCATCAAGAGCATCGGTTCTCTCCCGAATTCTGTGACTCATTCCAGCCATCTCGGCAATACCTCCGGCATTGTCACTGATTGGACCGTATGCATCAATGGCTAATCCTGTTGCTATAGTACTCAACATACCAAGGGCAGCAACAGCAACACCGTACATGGCAGCAAAACTGAAACTAACAAAAATACTAATTGCAATGGCAAAAATTGGAATGATAACAGACTTGTATCCCAAGGCAAGGCCAAAGATAACATTGGTAGCAGCACCAGTCCTACAGGAATCAGCAACATCTTGCACAGGGCTACAAAAGTCAGAAAGAAAATGTAAGTACTTTTGATATCTAATCAATTAGATGAATGAAGGTGAAAATGCAAAATATGATCCACATAGTTGCTTACCTGTATGCATTACTGGTATAGTACTCAGTAACAAATCCAATGATAAGCCCTGCCCAAAGACCAACAGCAACACACAAGAATAGTTGCCTGCAAAGCCAATTTTAATCCAGTGAGTACTAAGGTGTTCAAAAATTACTATTCAAGTCATTATTTAGTAAATAGACTGGAAACCTGACAAAATTATGAAACTAACCAGTTCTGGACAGCTTTCTGCTCTCCAAAATTGAAGATGGTGAAGGAAGATGGGAGTGCTATCCAACTAACAATTGCAATTCCAACAGTCATCAGTACTGTTGAAATAACAAGCTGTTTTTTCAATGCTGGCTCAATTTCCTTTACAAGTTTGATCTCAAAAAAGTCAGTTGCAAATAAAGTGGTGAGCAAACAAACAAGGAGGCCCACAGAGCTGATGATGAGAGGGAACAACATGGCAGTAAACTCGTGATTTATCCCAAAAGAAGAGATGGAAGCAACAACAAGGGCAGCACAAGATGCCTCTGCATATGAACCAAATAGATCGGATCCCATACCAGCAATATCCCCAACATTATCACCAACGTTATCAGCAATAACCTGAATACACAAGTATATCACATAGATGTAAGCACAAGATTAAATAAACAAAAAACAAGGAAACAGGTTAGGTTTCAGGATGAAACTTCCTTACAGCTGGATTTCTTGGATCATCCTCAGGAATGTTTCTTTCAACCTTGCCAACAAGATCAGCACCAACATCAGCAGCCTTGGTGTAGATACCTCCACCAACTCTTCCAAACAAAGCCATAGAAGACCCGCCAAGACCATAACCAGTGATAGCCTCAAAAAGACCACCCCAGTCATCACCATAGTAAATCTTGAACAGGTTGATGGTAATGTAAAGAACCAAAAGCCCATTGGCAGCAAGGAGAAATCCCATAACAGCACCGGATCTGAATGCGGTAATGAAAGCTTTCCCAACACCCTTTCTTGCCTCCAGGGTGGTTCTTGCATTGGCATAGGTGGCAATTTTCATTCCAAGGAAACCAGAAATAACGGATGTGATGCCACCAAGCACAAAAGATATGGTGCTGAAAAGGGCTGTGGCAAGAGCCGGCTTACACATCTTAGTTTCATCATAAGTGCAAGGCTGATGGCTTGTGCTGAACCCTTCTACAGAGCCAAGGAAGAGGAATATCAAGATGGCAAAAGCCACCATGAAGATTCCCACATACTTGTACATAGTGAAAAGGAAAGAGGTTGATCCTGTTATGATTCAAACACCAATAAATCAGTGATCCATTCTTTTAACAAAACCCTAAACATCTACAAAAGACTTTTTCAATTAAAGCACAAGGAGTGAGGATAAGGGTGATAAAATAGTATTAATGATAAATTCAAACTTTAGGATACAAAATAGAGTTAATAATAGCAAAAACATTGCAAATTTTTAGTAAAAATACAGAAAGACACACACACACAGAGCATCATTGAAGATCTCGCAAGCCATTTCAGTAAATCAACGAGAAACTCCATAGAGGATAAGGGTGATAAATAATATTAATGATAAATTCAAACTTTAGGATGCAAATTATAGTTAATAATAGCGAAAATATTGCCAACTTTTAGTAAAAAACAGGGAGAGCATCAAATTCAAACATACATCATTGAAGATCTCGCACGCCATTTCAGTATATCAACAAGAAACTACATAGATTATGGAAAGGATAACCAAATAAGGTCTCCAGTATGATTTCAAATGATAACCATGATTTTACTTACAGGTAAAAAAACAATATAATAAAAAAGCTAAAGTAAAACAAAGCGGCACGAAAAAACTAATCTTGGTTGCGAAATAATACTTTACTATAAGATTTGGACGTGTGGGTCCAAATTCAACAACCAACACCATCTTTTAATAATCAATAAATCAAGAACTGTTCAAATCATGTTCCAGACAATCCAACACGTTAAATAGTCTATAGGATTTCATACGAGAAGAAACCAAAAAACAAAAAAAAAAAACAAAAAAAACAACACAAACAGAGCAGAGTAGAACGAAAAAAATCATTTTAAAATTGAAATTTAAAATTGAAATCACCAGATTTCGCAGTCAAAACACAGATCTACACCATATAGGTAACGAGATCTAACTCACAATTCAAATACATACAAAGAGAAAATATTCAGCTTCAAAAATTATATTTTTTTTACAAAAAAGGAAAAACAAATTTTTCTAGGGTAGATCTCAGAAACCCAAAAAAATCACGAAGAGAGAGATATACCTTCCGAAATAGCGTTCTGGATTTCAGCACATTTGAGAACGACGTTGTGGTCGTTGATACCTTCCTCTTCCTCGATGAGTGAATCGTTGTACCCATTCTTCCCCGGCGTTTCAGTAACAGTCTCTCTTCCAGCGGTGAGCTTCACCTTGGAAACCAGAAGCCATTGGAAAAGCGCAAAAGCGATCCCAATGACGGCGCAAACGGGAATCAAAATCTCGGTACCGAGATCTGGGAGAATAACTGCTCCCATGGTGAAAACAGAGAACGAAACGATAAGAACAAAAAAAAGAACGGAAATGGAGGAAGAGGAATGAATGAACGAGTGAGAATTAGGAGAAGGGTGGTGAGGGTTTTATATGTGGGAGAGAGAGAAGATAGGGTTGGAGTTGGAATGAGAATGATGACAGATGAGTGAGAGAGAGTGTGTGTGGTTGAGATTGAGATTATAAAATTAATAAATTATTTTACAATAAGATGGGAATGAATCAATGTGTCTAATAATTTGTCAATTTTTCCTAATAATTATGCTACTAAATCTCATTTCTAAGTTTTTTCTCTCATTCCTATTATTTGTCAATTTTTCCTAATAATTATGCTACCAAATCTCATTTCTAGGTTTTTTCTCTCATTCCTATTATTAGGGTTTTTTTTTTTACTTTTGCTTCACCATATTTCTGTTTTCCTTTTAATTAAAAACAAATTTAATTAATATACACCAAAAAAACATTTTAGATTAAAAAGTTAATACTAACAATTATTAATTTTTTATTAATATTTAAATTTTATTTTAAAATTACTTTAAAATATATATTAATGTATATAATTAATTTAATTATTTATTTAAAATTGCTTTAAATGTATATTAACATATATAATTATATTAATATATGTTCTGAACAGATTAAAAATAAATATTTAATATTATGACATGAAAATTTTGTCTCAGTTCGAGGAATTTATTAGTAATAATATATTATTTTAAAGTATTTAATAATTTTTATTTTAAATCACTTTTTCTTTTTTTAATTATTTCTATTTATTAACATTATTTCCATTTCTTGAAATTTTATATTTTATATTTTATATTTATAATAATAGACATTTCAATAAAAGTATTCTCTCTTTTTTATGCAATTTTCTTTAATCAATGTGAATGATTTAATTAATATATTTATTTTGTTGGATCTAAATCCTCTTGTCTTTAAATCTATCAATAATTTATATACACAAACAATTAGATGTATCTAGTGGATAATATCCATAAAAAAATTATATATAAAAAAATTAAAATGGTGAAATAAAAATTTTAAAAACTAAAATAAATATTTTAAAAATAATAACAATTTTATTGATTAATATAAAAAATTAAAAGTAATATTTTGTCAACAACTATCTAATAAAATTATAATATTTAACTATGTCATATTAGTATTTTAAAATTAAAAATAGCGCATTGTTAATATAAACAAATTTTACACGATTATCTAATAGAATTATAGAACCATTCAATCATGTCAAGTTAATTTTTAAAATTAAAAATGTGATTTGATGTAATATATATCATCGATTGATTAATAATGTTTTACTGTGTATAATCTATTTTCTCTTACTATAATTTTTTTTAAGTAAAAAAAAAAGTTTCTACCATTATTTCTTAAATTAAAAAAAATAAACTATTAAATAAAATTTTAATTTTATAAAATGCGCTTAAATTAGTTTTTGAACGTGTAATTTTTTTTTTTAATTTTAAAAAGGTCTTTGACTCGGTTAAAGTGTTTAGTTCACGTATCAAAACAGTACTTGTGTTTATGTTTTGACTACTTATTATCAATTTAGTTTTATATTTGACCACTTATAAACTAAATTAGTTTTATATTTAATTATTTAATATAGTCATAATTGAGTAAAAATAACAACTTAGTCATAACATTTAGTATATGAAAGGATGGACATGAATAAAAAGACCTTATAAAACCACTTTTCGAATATTTATACATTTATGAATATTTTGAGTGGATCTTGATTTGGCGACTTACTCCAGATGTATTAAATAAAATAAAAATCACATGTTTAGAAAAGGAAAAATAAGTAATGAAAGATATCTATATAAAAATATTATTTAAAAAATTACAACAATAATTTTATCACTGTTATAAAATATAAAAAAGAATGACTTTGTTTTACGTCAGCATATTGTTGTTTACCGTCAAATGTCACCAGACGATATCTCATATCTCATGTTAAAATAGAAGGATTTTGAAACCACGAGAAGATTGATTGAACTCATAATGCGACACTTCTATTAGCCGTAATTATCGTCATAACTAACCTTAGTAGGAATTGTCATCAACAGCGAGAACTCATATGACATGATGTACCTCAGAACCTTTATGAAATTATGATTATACATGAAAGATTTGAAGTCATGTAAAGGTGAAAACTTTCTGGGATTCAATGACTCCTCAACCTATTCATGTGGAATCATAAATATCTCGTTCGGAGAAGAAAAAAATAAGAGAACTGAGAAAATATGCTTCACTATCATCCCTTGTGAAATTGTCTACGGCATCCTCAGAAGGTGATTTTTGGCGACATTAGATGCAATGGCCTCCACGATCCATTTAAAGATGAAATATAACAACAATTCAGGTGAGTCAATCGTTATTATTGTCGATTTGCATTTAACTCGCCTCGTACACGAAATAGTATTGAAGGATCTCTTAAGGGTCGCTTTTACCTCTGAGATGGGATAGAAGAAGGTTTGGGAAGCACTTGACATGGTTTGCCATGACATGCGAGAAAATAAAATCCCTCGTAATGATCAAGGTAGTTCGTTAGTAGGATTCAAAACTAAGGCCTTAAGGCTAGTTTCGAACGACGAGTTTGAAATTGTCCGACTAGATGATAAACCAACATAGTCGATTTGTATATATAATGATTTTTTGCCCAAAGTGAATAAAGAGCTCATTGAGTGTCTCAAAGCCAATGCTGGCCTTTTTGTAATCTCTCCCAACGTAATTGTCGCTACTCGAAAAATGCATCGCGCAACAACGGGGAGGCGGAAAAGATAGACAGAAGAGTCGCCACCGAACTTTATTTATCCCATGAGGGGAAAGGAAAATATCGAGAAAACCTTAAGAAAGAAATGGATAAGATGGTCTCGCAACCAAGAATAGGTTCGGAAGCCGGTTATGCGAGGGGAAGGTATTAGCACCCCTCGCATCCATCGTACTCGATGGAAACCTTTTGTTTGTCGATGTGTGAATTTATCTGCTTAAATATTATGCTGTAAAAGTGTTTTCCAAAGGGTAAAGAAGAAGGGTTGGAAACTGGGGAAAGAGAGGTAACGGAGGAAGAAAAGAGAAAGAACAGACTCGGTAGGACTTCGCAATCCTATGCCTACGTATTCTCAATAGATGTGAGAAAGTCAGAGTCGACGTAGTTCGGGGAACTACAGATATGGGGGGGAAAGTGCTCGCCAAGACATCGCCGTCTTGTGCCTACGTATTCTCATCTGGTATGAGAAATCAGAGCAGCCGTAGTTCGGCCAACTACGGGTGAAAGGTGAAAAAGGGAGCTCGCCAAGACATCGCTGTCTTGTGCCTACGTATTCTCATCTGACATGAGAAATCAGAGCAGCCGTAGTTCGGCCAACTACGGGTGAAAGGTGAAAAAGGGAGCTCGCCAAGACATCGTCGTCTTGTGCCTATGTATTCTCATCTGACATGAGAAATCAGAGCAAACGTAGTTCGTGCTAACAGTGTGTTGATGTCTTTACGGATGATGCTATCGTGCGCATTCTAGCAGTTAGGTGTTTTGCTGCTCGCTCGTTGGAGACTTAGGCATTACCTGTTTGCGGTAGAACGGACGTAACATATCCTGTTTGAAAGATTGGTTTTCGCCATACGAGGCAAGGTGTCATGTTTGATTGGTTGAGATTGTTTTTGGGGCGAGATAGGTCCTCGGATAGTAACCCCTACAGGTAGTACCCAATTCTTTACCTCAAAGTTTTTGTTATGAAAAGGTGTGGTGAACGAGGCGTCTTCGTATTGAAAGACGAGCGTCGAAACCACCCTCACTACAGTGGGCATCCCTACGCTCGGAGAAGAAGAGGTCTACATCCAATCCGCTCTCTTTAATTCAATGCAAAGAGAACTTCGTTCTCTTATTAAAGATGTTTTTGGTTTTGAATGGTAAGTGCTTTGCGACAGAGAACCCTACGGTAAACGTCAGCACTCGGGATAGGAGAAGGCCTACGCCTAACCACTCCACGACCATTCAAGTTTTTGTTGTGAAAATAATTGAAAACGCACTCGGTACAGGACCGGGATTTTAGGTGAGAAAGAAATGTGAGAGAAATTGTGAGAAGGTGTGGAAAGAGATAGGTGGATAAAGTCGCGTCTTCGTATTGAAAGACGAGTATCGAGACCACCCTCACTACTGTGGGCATCCCTACGCTCGAAGGAGAAGAGGTCTACACCCAATCCTCTCTTTTTAGTTCAATACAAAGAGAAATTAATTTATTATGGTTTGAGAAAGGACTCGATACGAGACCGAGATTTTAGGAGAGATGGTATGGAAACGTCTTCGTATTGAAAGACGAGTGTCGAAACCACCCTCACTGCAGTGGGCATCCCAACACTCGGAGAGGAAGAAAGTCTACACTTAATCCCCTCTTTTTAATTAAATACAAAGAAAATTGGATATTGAAAATGGTTTGTCAATGCTTTGGAAACGAGTTGGGACAAGAAGCGAGGAGAGAAAAGAGGTGGTCTTAGATCCAACGATACTTATCAATATATTGACTTAGTAATCGATTTATGGAACTTTCGTCATCGACCTAAAACAAATGAAAATGGGACAAAATGTCCAATAACAAATGAAAAATAAAATTCAACATCTAAAAGAAAATAAAATTCTAAAAGAAAATATAAAAAAATTATATAAAAAAAGTATTCTAAAGAAAAAGGTTAGAGAAGAATATAAAAAATTAAAACTAATATATATATTTACAAAATCTCATAAAAATATAAAATAAAATATATAATTACAGTATATTAACAAATTGTTTGAAAAAAACTAATATAAATAAATATTATAAAAATTACTTACATGTAATAAAAATATACTTCAAAAAAAAAATGAAACTAGGGGTGTGAGAAGCCCAAACGGGTTTAGCCCAACAACCACATTCAATGAAATAGAAATGAACAGCAAAATAATAAAAAAAATAAAAAATGAAAACCCAGA